TACTTTTATATACTTCATAAAACCTATATATATATCAAGCCTCTACTCTTTTTTGCGTGTCAGCTAGCTCATGCTGGACTGTTTTCTCTTAAATATAAGATTGTTTTCATGCTTATAACACACGAAGAACATATCGTGAGTCGTGTATTTCTCATGCTCTCTATGAACGTAGTCACCTCTCATATACGAGTATAATCTCCCACCGTCTGACACCTTCTCAATCCTGCGCTTGCCATCACATGCCCAGCTCTGTATATAGTGTCGCGTCGCTCCCACGCTCTCCTCGCGACTCAGTCTGCCGATGATCTGCTCTCTACACTCACTCACACTGCTTGTATTGTTATGAATGCGCCTCTCTCTGTATGTGAGATATGGACACATAAGAGCCAGATAATAACAATTTCTATCTCCACCTCTCAGAGATTCTCTACCATCTCAATATCGTCGCTCTTTTTCGCTCTCTATCTGTCTTCAGCGAGTGACCGCAGACAAGAGAGAGCCGAGGAGGGACCGACGGTTAGGACTCATGCTACTATATGCCCGATTTAAGATGTTATGCGGAGAGAGTGCTCTGTGAAACGTAGTGACATGTCTGCATCTCTACAAGGCGAGCTGCGCGCTTCGTCGCTTATATCGTTATCTATATAGTGTATGGTTGATATCTCTCGAGGGTGTACTAACGCATATGTAGCTGGATGATTTGACGCCTCAACACAACTGCTATGAGGAGTGTAAGAGTGAGACGAGTGTTAGTGCCATATGAGCACGAAGCGCGCTCCGCGGGCCCTGCACATGAATATTAGTGTGTTAGAGATAGTAGCTTTTATGTATGAGAATAGAGCGGGAAGATATGCCGGAGAAGCGAGCGAGAGATGGGAAGACAAGTCGGCGGGCACAAATGAGCAGCAATAGCATTGTTCCATACTAGCGTAAACTTCATGATCTACAGCAACAAGTGCATATGTCTGAGCGTGTCTGCTAGTCGTATCGGCTCGCAGGGCCGCCACGATCTGTCTTGCTCTCTGTCCGCGGTCGTGGCCGCTCACATTCGGTCCTGAGATCTGCTAAGTATCTGCGCTGATGGCTCACCGGGTGGGAAGTGTGCGCGTCCTCTGTATTCACTAGCTTATATTAGAGAGGGCGAAGTGATCTGATCTGGACTCTGCTTGTATATAGCAGCTCTATTGGTAAGCTAGAAGAGGCACTAGTGTAAAAGTGTGACTTTCTCTCTATATTATGTATTCTCTATATTATCTCTGTCTGAATGCATTCTTCTGCATCAGGTAATAAGTGTACGACATCGGCCGCGCGAGAGAAGCGGATATGATCTCACTCACATGGGAAGCCAACAATCACGCACAGCTCGTTGTTGGCATGGTGCTCTGTTTTTTGTTATAACTCACGTCGTACATTGGAGTCAGCGTGCAGAAAGTTCAGCATGAATGCTTGTGTCAGGAGACATGCTTGCATGATCAGCTGGTACACAGCCCTCTGCCTATCTGCTGTTCCCTGTGACCTACAAGAATCCAGACAGGCTCTTGAAATGCATTTTTCCAACACCTTCCCTGCCCCTCCTACGTGAGAAGTAATTTAAGACCAACATATGCCAATTTATGGCATGTTAAAAAGGAGACCAATAACCTAAAAACAGTAGATACAAAATCGGATCCTAAACTGCTAAGTGCCCCATGATACAAAACCAGATAAGTAAACATATTTCCATTGTAAGCACTTTTATATCTTAGCAGCGGTAAATCGAGTTGAATTAAAAATTGGCGTCACTCAACTTTGCCTACCTCTTGCCTGCATCATTTCTCCCCGTTAGCTTATGTCTTTGCACACACTATATTTCTGTGTGTAAACAAAACAATGCAGCAGGTACTGTCCAACAGTCGGTGTAGGACTGTCGGTTGTAAGAGCTGAGCTAATAAAGATCCATTCATTCATGACCTTTTTCCACTTACCTCAATCACTTTCAACGCGCTTTTCCTTACATGAACAACTGATGAATAATGCATAACCAAGGCCTTCATGTCCTAACTAAAAGCATTTGTTTTCTGCGCTCTAATTGTTTGTCCTTAAATAGCCAGTGTAAGAGGCAGCTCGCTACCTTTTATATAAGTGCGATGAAAGTTAACTCTGTTCTGCCTGCGGTAAGTGTCTCGTTAATTTAATTCACATAATCACTGCATAAATGAATAAATCCCTTCTGGGGACATCCATCCTTCGGGAGGGTTAGAGAGATAATATAAATGAGGGTAAGAGAAAAAATTATGAACATATTATGGTTGATTGAGCTTTACAAAAAGCAGAAATATGTAATACAGAGATC